TGTCATGTTTTGTTTACGGGACAAATCTTACTAATTGGTGGTGACGGGTTTAACGACCTTCATATTTACGTGATTTGTCCCAAAAAAACCTCTTATGGATAATATTGGTCGTTGCAGCCTACTACGTGTTAAACACTTAAGTAGTTTTAGTTTAGAAAACCCACTCACCCTCCACTCCAGCCGTGGGTCCCGCGCAAATGCGATCGAGGCGAGAGAGCAGCGAGGCAAGGGAGGAAAATTTAGGAGGGAGGTGAGGGTTGGATATAGAGGGAGATAGAGGAGGGAGGTGAGGGTTGGATATAGAGGAGGGAGGAAGAGGCATAGAGCAGCGGTTCTCAACCTTTTCGAGTGTGCAGACCCATTTTCAGCCTTCAAATATCCCGCGGACCACCACACGCTGTTTTTAACACTCCGTTAAACTGTACATAGAAATCTAACGTAACAACAAATACATAATATGCACGCTCAGTAATCATTTGTACTGGTACACACCTTAATTGTGAAATTGGTATTCATTACCTCAACAAATACATTTGCGGAGCAAAGTAGTACATGTGCAGGCACGTGCTCCTTAGCTTGAAATGGATGAAGCCCATCGGTGAAAAGTTTGCGAAGTGCGGTTCTGCAATTAGAACCAATTAAACCGGATTTCTCCCAATCTCAGATGATCGGGTTTAATACATAAAGACAATTAAACCCGATTGTAAAAAACCCGAATGTGCCACCCTTGCCTCGAACAGACTGGTCACATTGTGGCAGAAGCAGAGCCCATCTTGATGGGTGAAGAAGCTGCAAAAAGGTTGGTAACGCTTCCTCTGATCTGCGACTTGTGCACGTTCATTTAACAAGTTCCACTGCTTGAGCCTAGACGTCAAAAGCTCGGCATTGGACTTGGTGAGACCAAGATCTCTGATCAAGTCGTTGAGGTCTTTTTGGTTGGGGTAGTATGGGTTTCTCTCCTCAGCTTTACCTCTGAAATTGTCATCTGGATCTACAACGTCTTCCTTACTCTCTGACTTGCTGCTCTCTCTCCGGAGGAGTGGGTACGGGGAGCTCAGAGCAATGTGGCACCGGGGCGATGGATGAAAAAAGGTCCGGATACGTGATAGCAGGTGCATTCTTGCCAATTCGACGTTTGGAAGGGCAGAAGTAGCAGTTGCTTGAGTGGTCAGTGGGTTCCTGCGAAATTCTTGGGATAGCGAACTTCATGGCTCTCTTTTTCCTTCTGTACCATCCTACAAAGGCGTCCGTCATCAGGTGGGACAACCGCAGCAAGAGAACAATTGCTTTCTTGCTGCGGTTATCTCACCTGATGACGGACGGATGCTTGTGTTGCGCCCGAAACGTCGTGATTTTATTTATTTTATTTTATACCTACGTGACTTTACCGAAAGAACCAAAGAGTATGGATCCCTGCAGTCACGAAAACTTCAAATCTAGATTGTTCTTCCAAATATTGCTAAATTTGAGAGAGAGACAAAACACAGACATGGAGACACAGACATACACAAGCAGAGAGAGATAACACAAAGAGACACACAGAGAGAGACACACACATAGGCACACAGAGAAACAACGCCTCTGTGTCGAGGCCATAAGTAGAGAGAGGGGGGGGGAGAGGCGGGGTAGAGAAATTAGCATGTCAATGAGAGATTTGGAGCTTTCGTGACTGCAGGGAATAATAGAGCAACAACACGAGGACACACAGAGAAAGAGAAAACACACTTAGTCAAACAAACTTAGTAAAATTTGGAAATGTAATGCAATGCAACACAGAGAGTCGGTCAACACACAATTAATCCATAGCCTGGTTGATTGCGTTCTTCCAAAGATTGCTAAATTAGAAGTTAAGTGTGAAATTTGAGAGAGAGACAAGAAACAGACCGCTTCGGGGTGAATTTCCGCACATGTCTGTGTGTCTCTGTTTGTCAAATTGTACACTTAACTTCAAATTTTAGCAATCTTTGGAGATCGTAATCAACCAGGATCTGCATTAACTGTGTGTTAGCCGACTCTCTGTGTTGCATTGCATTACATTTCCAATTTTTTTCCTAAGTTTGTTTTCTCAAACGGCCTATTTCTCTCTCTAAAATTTACCAGGCTCTCATAGGTCCATTCACTCTTTCTCTCCCTCGGTCGCTTCGGCGTGGATTTCCACACAACTCTCTCTAAAATGTACCAGTCTTGTTGGGTCTTTCATTGACATGCTTATTTCTCTGCTCCAGCAGCTGCTCCAACAGAGGCGTTGTTTTTCTGTGTGCCTATGTGTGTGTCTCTCTCTGTGTGTCTCTGTGTTATCTCGCTCTGCTTATGTGTCTCTCTATGTGTCTCCGTGTTTGTGTTTTGTTTCTCAAATTTAGCAATTTTTGGAAGAACAAAATCAACCAGGTAGGGTGTTGACTGTTATGTTAGCCGACTTTCTGTGTTGTATTGCATTATATATCTAAGTTTACTAGGATTGTTTTTTTTTTCATTTGTACCTAATGATGATTGCTTGTGTTGCAATCGAAACGTCGTATGCTATTTTTTTTCTACGTGACTTTACCGAAAGAACCAAATAGTAATCCAACAAATACTTTAGAACGTAAGACTACTGCAATCATTGCAAATTCATTAATCCCCAAGACTGAGCAATACCAAATTAAACCAAGGGCCTCAAACCCACCTAGACAGTATGGGCTACCTAAGATTCATAAAATCGGCATCCCATTACGACCCATAGTAAGTACAATTGGCTCTGCCACATATAAATTAGCAAAATATATAACTAAACAAATACAGCCCTACCTCGGTAGGAAATCTTCATTCATAAGAAATTCAGAACATCTTGTGAATGTGATTAAAGATATTAAACTTAACCCTAACGATATTCTGGTGAGTTAATGAGTCGCTTAAATTATTTGATACACTAGTAAAGAATACAGGTTTACCAAAAGATATTCCAAAATTAGCTGACCATTGTTTAAATAACACTTCTTATGGATAGGTGATTTCTTTAAACAAAAGGAAGTAGCAGCAATGGGCTCTCCTTTATCTCCTGCTATAGCAAATCTGTGCATGAAAAACTTTGAAACAAAGAAATGCCTCAAGTACATTAAAACCATATTTTTGGTTTAGATATGTTGATGATATTTTGGTTGTCTGGCCACATGGGAAACATACACTTGATTAGTTTATAAATCATCTCAATGCACAAAACCCGGCCATCCAGTTCACCATGGAAACTGAGGTGAATAACACACTCCCTTTCCTAGATATTTTGCTTGGACATGGCCTAAATGGCAAAATAATACACAGCGTTTACCGAAAGGTGCTTATCTGATGCCTATCTGAATGCAGATTCACATCACCCAGCTCAGAAATCCTCTCTTATTAAGATGCTCATACATCGGTGTAAAACAGTGTCAGATGGTGAAAGTCTAGGGAGAGAGATTAAACATCTTAAAGAAGCACTACGACAGAATGGCTACAATAATGCTCAAATGAACAGAGCACTGAATGCCAAATCACGATCGCAAAGCAACACTGCTGAAAGTGATAAGATTATTAATCAAATTAAAATACCATATATCTCAGGAGTAAATGACAAATTCGCCTGTGTTTTGCAAAAGCAAAACATTAAAGTAAGAATTGGAACAGTACACAAAATTCAAAAACTAGTATCTTGTACTAAAGACGAATTACCTAAATTATCAACAGAAGGTGTAATTGCATATGTGGCAGATGCTATATTGGACAAACGGTACGTAACAGCGTAAGACTAAAAGAACACCAAAGAAATATTGAATTATCTCAAACACAACTGTCCGCAGTGGCGCAGAACATGCTTGCCAACAAGGCCACTCAATTTATTTTGATAACGTTGAAGTGTTGTGTAAAACTAATTATTACTGGCCAAGACCAATTCGAGAATTCATTGAAATTGAGAGAAATACAAATAACTTTATAGCTATAGGCTTAGTGCGGCCTGGAAGCGTATTATTAAATAAAAAATCATACATATTACAATTCCTTATATGGGAAACACATACTAATTAACTGATTAATAACGTAGTATATAATTACAATAACCCCCCCCTCCACCACCTCTGATTTCTGCACCTGATTGGGTATAGTGATTGGGTTTAGTTATTCAATAACACACATTACAACTAATTACTAATCTACAACTGATTACTAATCATAAAAATTAACTGATTAATAACGTAGTATATAATTACAATAACCCCCCTCCTCTACCTCTGATTTCTGCACCTGATTGCGTATAGTGATTGGGTTCAGTTATTAAATAATACACATGACAACTAATTACTAATCTACCACCGATTACTAATCATAACAATTAACTGATTACTAATGTATTATATAATTACCATACCCCCCCTCTCCGCCTCTGATCTCTGCACCTGATTGGGTTAAATGATGACGTCACCCTACTACTCTATTTAAGACCGGGAGCAGGTGGACGGCTTCACTATTCTGGCAAATTGCCCGATGATGCTGGTTGATGTAAATACAAGCAAAACGTCGTACTCAAAAATTGTAAATGTTGTGGATTCACTCTTCAACACACCGGTGGGCTAAAGTAGTGAACTATTTGTCTTTTGTCAACGTGACGCATTTTTTACTGATTGGCCGTGTCGCGTGGTGGAGGGTTGCAACACATTTATAAATAATGCGACCTAGCCAAAAAACCTTTATTATAAATAATATTGGTCGTGAAAGCCTACGTGTTAAACTCCCCACTAAGTGGTAATAATGTATTGACTCCTGGAATGATAATAAGCCGAGTCAACCCCCAACCAGGATTGACCTTGCAACCTTCCACTTGCAAGCCGCCTGCCCTTTTGCTGTGCCACCTGGCCATAGAATAGTAGAAGGGTGCCTTCAGTGGAATGGCTGTGTATAGTATTTGTCTTTTACTGCGACGCACCACCACCATTGCTACAACCGTTGTGACTACTTATGCTGTTTAATATTTTTTGGATTTTCTTTTTCAGATAGAGTGGACAAAGGCGTGTATTCGACCTGCAGGAGTTACGATTCAAGAGATTCGTACTCTACACTCCCTGCCAAGTACCCATCTCAACATCTGAAACTTGGGGCACGTCAAAGATAGACTGATAAGTGTGCAGCGCCCTTCATAGAGCAGGGTGCGAAACAGCCTTGCAAAAAACTCTCAGCGTTCTGACCATCAAGGAAGTTGACTGGAACACAGCTATTGGTCAAGCTAACGATGACAACCTGATGACAGCCCAAACCAAGAATCGTAACAAATCTGACGGCAATCCGGCACATGGTCAAACAAGGACACAAAGAACGAATTTCACAAAGTCGGGGAAAGCCCCAAGAACAACCCCAGATACTCAAATATTACCCGTTGTCGATAATGTCTTTAACCAACCACAATCCTGACAGGAGCTAAACGAGCACCAACGAATCTCAAAGAATCTGGCAACAGCCAACCAGGAACAACGAGAGCTCAAAGAACACCAATTGACAACCTCACAACATCAATGCAATAGCAATAGCTCATGACCAATCGATCCTTTTATTTTGATTTAAAAAATCAACACAAGAACACATCTATCAATGACAATCTAAGAACAGTCTAATGTCAACTACAAGAATATTCTGACCAGAAGAACCCCTGAACAATCATAGAACGCAAACATATTTTCATCACTGACACTATTAACAGCCCAGGAGTTACAAATAACTCGCAGACCACCCGCAGCACATGGCTATCTGACGACAACATCAATTAGCACGTACAACCAATACGGAGCAATCTGACGGCGTTTCTAAATCCTCACCACCACCACTAACGACTATCCAAAGAGCATCCAACAAAAAAAAAACAGCCTAACGGTAGACCACCCATCAATCGTGATATTACAAGGAGCGATATTACCAGACTACACAACCAAAGACCAACCAACCCCCCCCCCCCCTAAAAATCTGCACAACCTGAGCAGCAGCAACAGCGAGAGGGATTATTTCTGGCTGCAGCTTGTAAAATGGCGATTCACGTGGCTGGTCTGATAGCCATCATCATTTTCTATGGCATTATCCTGGCTGTGGGGATCTGGGCCGCATGCCGAACCAAGAACGTCGGCGTGGGCGAGGGGATGGAGCGCAGCGAGGCCATCATGGTGGGCGGCAGAGACATCGGCCTGCTCGTCGGCGTGTTCACGATGACGGGTGCGTGTCGAGCGAAACTGTGGGGGCCGTTGGCCCCCGGGGTCCCTCCCGCCTTCATCCCCTTTTCCGTTTACGTTACCCCACCTCCCTATTACCCGCTACGGTTTCGCCGGCATTCGAACGCTACGCCCCTACTGTTACAGCCTCGCGCCGCGCTCCCACGCTGCGAGCATACGTGCGCACAGCATCATCAATCAAACGCCATACTCCCCCTCTTTACACCGCTACGTACAGCTCTCGCACGCTGCGAGCGTGTGCCCGTCTATAGCCCTGTGCGGCACTCGCCTCCACGTCGAATAACCACGTTACCAATGCGCATCCGTATCCGACACGTAACGAACGTATGCGCACGCACGCACACAGCTCCCCGCGGCACTCACTCACCACTGAATACTCGCGTTATGATCGCGCACCTGTATCGCACACGGGGTGGACGCACGCACACACACGCAGCTCCCCACGCGACACACTGCTCAACAAGATCACGCGAGACCACGCTTTGCTATTAATGATTTATTATCTGCTACTCGCGAATTGATGCTAAGTCATTATGAGTCGACGAGGCTGGCCTATCCTACTTCCCCTGGACCTATTCCCTATTTATCGGCTTACGATACCCTGTCACCTTGCTACTCACGGGTCGAAGTATTCGGCGTCCTGTGGCTTTTCCTCTATGCTGTCGGGGCACGTCACGCGGACGTCCGGAGGGCAGAGCTGGGAGCCGACTTGAACGCGTGCCTCTTGAAGAGAAGTGATCTCTCTACCTTGCCACGATCCCTTTTATCCTCTGTCCCGTACTTCCCGAATGCTCTCCGCTCATGAGCGGCGCATATGCTAATCAATGTCCTGCTTGCGCGGCGTAAACTCTAAACAATGGCTCGCGCCCCCCTTGCACGCGCACGGCGGCTCCGCGGTGCCTCCACGGCGCTTTTGTTATGCTAATCGGATGTGCTGCGGCGCCGATTCCAAACACGCTCCTTCGGAGTGAGCAGGTAGGAACTTGGTTGGGCAGCGCATTCTTGCACGACAGAGAGACCAATAATTCCTGGTGGGCAGTGTGGAACATTGTTCTTACCTGTATTACTCTCGCTCTCATGCATGGCGCCGTGCTCCTGCGCACCCTAAACTATGCCGCCCCGTCCCTCCTCCGCCTGTCTCGTCGACCCGAGGGGGTGTGTGTGGGGGGAAATGCGCCTCAACCGCGGTGGCCGAATGCCCCACGCCACGACCATACCATATTAAGGCCGGTCGCAGCGCCGCGGCGCAACGTAGCGTCGGGGGAGGTCGTCCAATTCCCTGATCGCCGGAAACCGTGAGAGTTAATCCCGATAAGGGTTTCTCGGATAAAACCGGTCGATCAGGTGATCTCCCCTTCCAGCTCTATGGGTGGGGGAAAATGCGTGCGGGTGTGTTCATGTGAGGTGAGGTGAGGGGGGCGAGGGGTTGGCTCCGTTGCTTGGTGGTGGCGAGGTCGGGGATGGGGCGCCTGCCGAACGGCTTCGTGGCGGCGGCATCACAAAACCAATTCAACAATCGTCCCCCCCATCCCGCCCTTCCCCATGAACTCTTTCTCTACAGCTTAAATGCCTCCATACAATAACTAATCAGACGAGAGCGCAGGTTTCGCAAGCAGAATAAGACGAGTCATCATCACTCTGAGCAATGATCTATTTGCTGCTAGATAAAGGACTCGCCAACGTCACCATCGCACCATCATCCCACAATTCAATTATTTATCTCGCGGCTTCACGCAAAGCTGATCCCTTCATTCCATGTCTTTGGTGGACATTTGTGTTCCCTCCTTTGGCTGCGATTCCATCATTAGTCTCGACCCTTGACCATAATTCCAACTTGCGATATGTCCTGCCGAGCACATTACTTTTTCTTAACAGTTGATAAGATATCCTATCTCGAATGCCCTCGTTAATCCATGTTTCTCTTGTTATTATACATATATATCTTACTAGCGGAAGTACCCGGCTTTTGCCCGGGTGAAAAATATATTTCTTAAAAACCTTACATATATATACACAGATACTAAGGTATTGTCAAAGCCCGGTGGGCCGTTTGTACATTTCTATACTAACAAATATATAAGAGGCTTGCACAAGTCCAAAAAGTAGTAGAAAGTGTGGGGTAAATAGTTGATGTAAAAGGTTTCCAAAAATTGTGCCCCCCCCCTCAAAAATATCTTTACCCCTCGTAGGTATATATACTAACAACACCTTACATACAACAGAGTAAGTAGTATATATTGACTCTGTAGTAGTATCTACTGACTGTACCGTAGTATCTACTGAGCCAGTAGTAGCTACTGACTGTGTAGTAGTATTTAGTGACTGTAGTAACTACTGACCAAAGTAGTATTTACTGGGCCTAAAGTAGTATCTACCGACTATATAGTCGTAACGACTAACTGTATAGTATCTGCTGACTCTATAGTAGTATCCACTGATTATAGTAGTAACTACTAACTCTATAGGAGTTGACTGTAGTAGCTACTCACCGTGGTAGTATGTACTGACTGTATAGTAGTATATACTGACTGTAGCAGTATTGACTGACTGTAGTGGTATATACTGACTGTTTTAGTATCTACTAACTCTATATAGCAGTATCTACCAACTCGATAGCAGTATCTACTATCACTACAGCAGTGTATACCGACTGAAGTGGTACCTGCTATCACTACAGCAGTGCATACTGACTGGTAGTACCTGCTATGATTATAGCAGTGCATAGTGACTGGTGGTACCTGCTATGATTACAGCAGTGCATACTGCTGTGTTGGTACCTGCTATTATTACAGCAGTACATACTGTGTTGGCACCTGCTATGATTACAGCAGTGCATATTGTGGTGGTACCTGCTATGATTACAGTAGTGCATATTGTTGTGGTACCTGCTATGATTACAGTAGTGCATATTGTGGTGGTACCTACTATGATTACAGCAGTGCATATTGTGGTGGTACCTGCTATGATTACAGCAGTGCATATTGTGGTGGTACCTGCTATGATTACAGCAGTGCATATTGTGGTGGTACCTGCTATAATTACAGCAGTGCATACTGCTGTGTTGGTACCTGTTATGATTACAGCAGTGAATATTGTGGTGGAACCTGCTATGATTACAGCAGTGCATATTGTGGTAAAACCTGCTATGATTACAGCAGTGCATATTGTGGTGGTACCTGCTATGATTACAGCAGTGCATATTGTGGTAAAACCTGCTATGATTACAGCAGTGCATATTGTGGTGGTACCTGCTATGATTACAGCAGTGCATACTGACAGTGGTGGTAGATTCTATGATTACAGCAGTGCATACTGACTGTGGTGGTACATACTATGATTGCAGCAGTGTATACTGCTGTGGTGGTACCCGTGATTACAGCAGTGCATACTGCTGTAGTGGTATCTGCTATGATGAGAGGAGTATCGGCTATTGTCACCACTCACCCTCACCACTCACCCCCACCACTCACGCTCACCACTCACCCTCACCACTCACCGCTCACCCTCACCACTCACCCTCACCACTCACTAATCACCACTCACAACCGCCACTCACCCTCACCACTCACCCTCACCACTCACTCTCACCACTCACCTTCACCACTCACCCTCACCACTCACCCTCACAACAACCACTCACCCTCACCCTTACCACTCACGCTCACCACTCACCACTCATCCTCACCAATCACACCCTTACCAATCACCACTCACCCTCACTGCTCACCCTCACTGCTCACCCTCACCACTCACCCTCACTACTCACCACTCATCCTCACCAATCACACCCTCACCAATCACCACAGACCCTCACCACTCATGCTCACCGCTCACTCTCACCACTCACGCTCACTACTCACCCTCACCACTCACCCTCACTACTCACCACTCATCTTCAACAATCACACCCTCACCAATCACCACTCACGCTCAACACTCACCCTCCCCACTCACGCTCACCACTCACCATTACCACTCACCCTCACCACTCACTAATCACCACTCACAACCGCCACTCACCCTCACCACTCACCCTCACCACTCACTCTCACCACTCACCCTCACCACTCACCCTCACAACAACCACTCACCCTCAACACTCACCACTCATCCTCATCAATCACACCCTCACCAATCACCTCTCACCCTCACTGCTCACCCTCACCGCTCACCACTCACCCTCACCACTCACCATTCACGCTCACCACTCACCCCTCACTAATCACCACTCACAACCGCCACTCACCCTCACCACTCACCACTCACCCTCACCACTTACTCTCACCACTCACCCTCACTACTCACCACTCATCCTCACCAATCACACCCTCACAAATCACCACTCACCCTCACCACTCACCCCCACCACTCATGCTCACCACTCACTACTCACCACTCACCACACTCACCACTCACCCTCACCACTGACCCTCACCACTCACACTCACCACTCACCCTCACCATTCACCACTCACGCTCACCACTCACCCTCACCACTCACCACTCACTAATCACCACTCACAACCGCCCCTCACCACTCACCCCCACCACTCGCGCTCACCACTCACTACTCACCCTCGCCACTCACCACACTCACCACTCACCCTCACCACTCTCCCTCACCACTCACCCTCACAACTCACCCTCACCACTCACCAGTCACGCTCACCACTCACGCTCACCACTCACCCTCACTACTCACCCTCACTACTCACCCTCACTACTCACCCTAACCACTCACCCTTAACACTCACCCTCACCACCACCACTCACCCTATTCCCGTTTTAAAAAAACTTGCTTACGTGTCGCCAAGTATGCTTAACATTTCTTACAGACACACACATTCACTAATTTAGCTTTTGACATTACACATACAAAACGTCAGCTTGTACTACTGTCATGATAGCAGGTACCACCACCACAGTGATGGTGAGTGGTGAGCGGTGAGGGTGAGTGGAGAAGGTGAGTGGTGAGTGGTGAGG